CCCAGGACCCTGGGATCATGACCTGAGCCGAAGGCAGACGCTTAACGACTGAGCCACCCAGGCGCCCCTCAGTGCTATGTTTTTATGTGGGAACATTATGGCAGTCTATAAATCTCTTCAGTAAATTAAGTGGTGCCTATCTTTATAGATCTATAAATACAAATGATTTTTGCAATTCAGGCTTAATAACCTAATTGGAAAAGCAGTATTGAGAAAAAAAGAAACTGGTTTCAGAAGCTTGGATTTAATAGATAATCCCACTGCCAAGCAGGTAGCAAATCAGAATTGACATTTAGTTCATGAATTCTCATTGGCGTCTTATTGAAGTTCTGGGGGTTTTTAGCTCCTCATATACTCTGACTTTTAATATCTTACACAGATATCATTAATTTTCACAGAATTGGGCGCCTGGGTGGCTCAGTTGGTTAAGCGACTGCCTTCGGTTCAGGTCATGATCCTGGAGTCCCGGGATCGAGTCCTGCATTGGGCTCCCTGCTCGGCGGGGAGTCTGCTTCTCCCTCTCCCACTCCCCGTTTGTGTTCCCTCTCTTGCTGTGTCTTTCTCTGTCAAATAAATAAAATAAAAATCTTTAAAAAAAAAAAAAATTTTTTTTCACAGAATTGACTTGTAAGGCTTTAAGAGACTGTTAACCAACTGTTAAAAAAAAAAACAAAACCCTTCTTACCAGATATTTTCATACACAAAATTAATCTTGGCATAGTTGTTCTCACGAAGTAAGTAAATACTGTTAAAATGTATATGAAGAAAGCTGTTATCTTGGGCATGGGTGTGGGGGAGATTAAATCAGTGACATGTACTGTTGAGAATACTTTTCATGGACTAATATCTGTATCTAGTCTTACCTTGTCCCTCATCTGTTATCTTTGGACACTTGTGTTTCATAAGCTGTTGGAAATATATATGCATGTTTTATTTTAAATGACTTCAGTGTAAAGTGACTTTGCATTGTTTTGATATAGGTATATAGAGATATTTCCAAGCAGAAGGAATGAAGTCCGAACACATGTTGGTTCTCATAAGGGAAAGAAAATGGCATCTTCTCCTACTGCTAAGTATATAACTGAGCCAGAAATGGTCTTTGAAGAACACGAAGTAAATGAGGATATTCGACCCATGACAGCTTTTGAAAGTGAGAAGGAAATAGGTAAGGACCTGCATCTTATTGAGACTTATTGGATCTATTTTGTATGTTTTGATATTTAAAATATTTTTTATGACCATGTTGTATGGGATTATTAGATTATAGGACCAGGGAATTGAGTTGGAAGATTTATCTGTCTTTGAATGTAGTATGTACTTTGAATATGTGCAGAAGGGCTTAATTATTTTGTTAAGTTTTTATATAATCGTTCTTGTGGATTTTATATAAAAAGCTGGGTGGCACAAATATAATAAAACAACATAAAATGTCATCATTTAAACTAAGGTGAGAAAAGATGTAGAGGGCTCGAATGTTGACTAAAGAAGTTTTGTTTGCCTCTGTATTTAATTATTCCTCTGATTCCTAACCCAAAGTAACGTGGAATCTTTGAAGTGTGATAATTCCTTTTTAAACTCATGCCATGGTGGGGTGCCTGGGTGGCTCAGTTGGTTGAGCGGCAGACTCTTGATTTCTGCTCAGGTCGTGACCTGGGGGTCCTGGGATTGAGCCCTGGGTTGGGCTCTGAGCTCAGCAGGGAGTCTCCTTCAGGATTCTCTCCCTCTGCCCCTCCCCACCACTCTCTCGCTCTCTTGCTCTCTCAAATAAATAAATCTTTAAACTCACGCCATGGGATTATCCCATTACCATATTTCTTCTTTTTTTTTTCAGTGCCTGTAACCCAGAGAGTTTCTTTTTTTTTTTTAAAGATTTTATTTATTTATTTGACAGAGAAAGACACAGAGAGGGAACACACAGGGGGAGTGGGAGAGAGAGAAGCAGGCTTCCCACCAAGCACTGAGCCCGATGCGGGGCTCGATCCTAGGACCCTGGGATCATAACCTGAGCCGAAGGCAGTCGCTTAACCAACTGAGCCACCCAGGCGCCCACCCAGAGAGTTTCTATTGCCTTTTATTTCCACTCATAATCATTTTTCCCTCTCACTATTCTTTTTTATTTTTTTTTAAAGATTTTATTTATTTATTTGACAGAGACATAGCAAGAGAGGGAACACAAGCAGGGGGAGTGGGAGAGAGAGAAGCAGGCTTCCCACCAAGCACTGAGCCCGATGCGGGGCTCGATCCTAGGACCCTGGGATCATAACCTGAGCCGAAGGCAGACTCTCAACTGACTGAGCCACCCAGGCGCCCCATCCTTCTCTCTATTCTTATATAAATACCTGGGTTTTTTTTTTTTGTAATCTGGTAGCGGTTTGAGGTACGAAATCTTTACGCTAAATCCTCATGGGTGTTCAGGTGATTATTGTTAGGTGGCAGAAATGTCAGAACATTTTTGCTTTTAAAATTAAAGCCCTTCTTGGGTACGTGCACCCCGATGTTTATAGCAGCAGTGTCCACAATAGCTAAACTGTGGATAGAGCCAAGATGTCCATCGACAGATGAATGGATAAAGAAGATGTGGTATACACACACACACACACACACACACACACACACACGGTGGAATATTATGCAGCCATCAAAAGGAATGAAGTCTTGCCATTTGTAACGATGTGGTTGGAACTAGAGGGTATTATGTTGAGCAAAATAAGTCAAACAGAGAAAGACATGTATCATATGACCTCACTGATAATGAGGAATTCTTAATCGCAGGAAACAAACTGAGGGTTGCTGGAGTCGGGGGTGGGGTGGGAGGGATGGGGTAACTGGGTGATAGACATTGGGGAGGGCATGTGCTATGGTGAGCGTTGTGTATTGTTTAAGACTGTTGAATCACAGACCTGTACCTCTGAAACAAGTAATACATTATATGTTAAAAAAAAGAAGAAGATAGTAGGAAGGGTAAAAGGAAGGGGGGGAAATCGGAGAGGGAGACGAATCATGAGAGACTATGGACTCTGAGAAACAAACTGAGGGTTCTAGAGGGGAAAGGGGTGGGAGGATGGGTTAGCCTGGTGATGGGTATTAAAGGGGACACGTTCTGCATGGAGCACTGGATGTTATACACAAATAATGAATCATGGAACACTACATCAGAAACTAATGATGTAATAAAGTATGGTGATTAACATAACATAATAAAAAAGAAAATTAAAGTCCTTCTTCCTTACTGGTTCAGGAAGAATTGAGGGTTTTGACAGAAAGGTCATACCTAATTATAATCTGTTAATAACTCTTGAAGCTCTTATGTTTCTGACAGTGCTTTCTGTCCCACTTCTCAGAACTGCCTAAGGAGATGTCAGAAAAGCTTCCAGAGGCTGTTGATTTTGGAACTACATCTTCACTACATTTTGTCCACATGAGAGGATTGCCTTTCCAAGCTAATGCCCAAGACATTATAAACGTGTGTGGCAGTAAGATATCCAATCTCAATAGGTTTGAACAAAAATTCTAAAACTGAACTTATATTAACATGGGAAAGATAGAGAAGAAAATATCCTATTTCTGAACTATTTTTGGACAGTAAGGTGGCATCTCCTTGGTTGTGGAAGCTTGTTTTCTTCAGCTGAGAAGTGTGGGCTTTATTATATTTTAAGGTCAAATGTATTATGATAAGAGGATTTTATAGATACAAAATAATAATGATGTAGTGTTAGTATTCAAAGTAAGTTTGGTTTTTCTCTAAATTGGTTCAGCCTACTCATTTTTGAGTTTAGGAAGCTGAGACTCAGGGAATTTGTCACAGGGTGGTTATATACTAAATGAATCCCAGTGCTCCTAAATACTTAGAAGCTTGTAGCCTTCATCGGGATTCCCTAATTTTTGAGAAAGGAATTTTAAAAATATTTTTATAACAATGTATGAAAAGAAAGGGAAACAACAAGAGCCATACTGACTTCATGAATTTGAGGACATAACCTTAAGGTAGATCCAAACCTAGAATCTTCAGTTAGTAGTGGGTCCTCAAAGTTGTCTTCATTATTTCAAAAAGCCTGATAAGAATCCTATCTTTAACCAGACAAGGTTCACACAGTCTCATTGGAGCATTATATTCTTTTGCTTTGGTTTGAAATGATAACCACTCAGTGTGGTAGCTCTGTTCATGTAGTGCTGGTAAAAACTGATGAGCAGGCACATAGCTGATGTAAAAATGACTTATTAAGAAATGAAGGATGGACACTCTTTAGAAACAGGGAAGGATGTGTGTGAGAGGAGTAAGAGAAGCGGTCCTTTCTGGCCTAAGAAAGTTTGAGCACTCTTGCTATATTGTGTATTGTACAGTTTTTTTCTGTGATTATATAGTTGAAATGTAACCTTGAGTTCTAACAGGATCAGAAAAGCCAGACGACATGGTAGATGTGTAACTACTTTGTTTCTTAAAGAGATTCTCTAAAAACAAATTTTTGGGTGTATGAATCAGAGTCTGAAAGAAAAATGCAGAACCTTAGACTTCTAGAAATTGGGCCTGCTACCATTATATTCCTTTTAGCTTCTTTTGTTTGTTGTTTAGTTCTTTGCGCCGCTGAAGCCTGTTAGAATCACCATGGAATACAGTTCTAATGGGAAGGCCACTGGAGAGGCTGACGTGCACTTCGATACCCATGAGGATGCTGTTGCAGCTATGCTCAAGGATCGGTCCCATGTTCGTAAGTGCTGCCCATGGTTTGCATTGTCAGTTTTGACATCTGTCTTTGCCTTTCTCTGTTTTGGAGTTTGCCTAGACCTTTTCCTTGGGAAAACTCTGCGGTGTTAATACTACGAAATTAAATATAAAAAGGACAAAATGCTGTATTGTAATGAAAAACATTTGTTTGCTAATTGTCTTGCATATTTCTATGCAGAGGTAGGATTTTTTTTGCTTGTTTTTAATTAGGAAATGTAATAGACAAAGGGTTTGAGTTGCTGTCTGAACTATGAGAAAATGATTATAGTATTATTTCTCCCTTTTCAGCTTCTTAAAATGAATCTTTTTTTGTCATTCTCAGACCATAGATATATTGAATTGTTCCTGAATTCATGTCCAAAGGGAAAATAAGACTTCCAGGGACTCCAGATAATAAGGTAAATTTAAGAGGTACAATTGTGAGAATTATTTTCAATTGATAAATTATTAACTCACTAATTTGTAATATGGTGGAGACCATTCTTTTCTTTCTTTTTTTTTTTTTTTTTTAAGATTTTATTTACTTTTTAGAGGAGGTGTGTGTGTGTGCGCAGGGCAAGGAGCAGAAGGAGAGGGAGAAGCAGACTCTATGCTGAGCACAGGGCCTGATGCAGAGCTCGATCCCAGGACCCTGAGATCATGACTTGAGCCCACATCAAGAGTTGACACTCAGCCAACTGAGCCACCCAGGAGCCCCTTAATAATGATCAGACTAATCATGATAACTGAAACATCAAAATAAGGAAAGAAAATCTCCTGGGAAATAGGATTCATTATGATTGTATAGTGGTTTTGGGTATTTTTCCCATATAGAATCTATTGGCATCATTCCCAATATTCATCCTGCTGTGTGCCTAAAAATAATTTTTTACCTTTAATAGCTATAAATTATAATATACTGAAAATGTGCTTATAGTAGCTTTTCTTCCTATAAAATTTAAACACATTTCTTCAGTTCTAAGATATTAAAATGTTTAAAATGATATATTTGAAATTAGGGTGTATCATTATTATCTACACTTAATGTACCACTGTCTCTTTCCTAAAAAAGTGTTATGAAAATAGTTGTCTGTCCTAGGAAGTACACGATTTCATAGAGTTGACTTAATGTGTGACAAACCTACTAAATGTGTTGGTGCCCCTCCTTTGACTAAATGTTATGTGGTATCTTTTATTTCCCCATAAAATCTTTTAATGTATTATAATCATTTTTCTTTTTGTAGTGGTACATTTGAGATAGTTAACTGTAATGATTTCTTGGAAATACAGGAGGCATTTCTTTACTATAGTTGTCACAGGCTATTTTTGGATATAAAGTCCCACAATCTTGTGATGTTAAATATTAGCTAAAATCTGTGTAAAATATATTCTGTGCTTAACTCTGAAAATCTGTCTCTGTAGCAGGCTGTAAACACTAATGCCTAACTAATTTTCTTTACTGTAACTTAATGGATTTGTCACTAAATGGATTTACACTAAATCAAAAAAAAAGTATTGGGGCACTTGGGTGGCTCATTCGGGTAAGTGTCTGACTCTTGATCTCAATCTCACAGTTGTGAGTTCAGGCCCCTTGTTGGGCTCCACGCTGGGCGTGAAGCCTACTTAAAAAAAAAAAAAATTAAATTTGTAATTTTAAATGGTCTGGGAAAGGGTATGGTATGGTAACACTTTCTCTTTTATTTATTTTGCAGTACTTTTTCATTTTGAGTAAATGTGCAACATTTTTCATTTTATTTTCAGGATGAAGCAAGAAGCATTTCATTTGCACATCTTTTCTTGGACATGGAATATAAAGTTCCAGTTTTGTAGCAGCAACTGCTAGAGAAAGGATTTGGGGGTTTTGGGTTAATTGCTTATAAGACAAATTACGTAGTGGACTGTTTAGAAAGAAAAAGGAAAGATTCAGTTTGGAATTATGAAATAAACCACAAATTTAAATTTTCGTTTAATCTGTTCAAGATCTGATTTAAAAATCTGGGGTTTTTATTACATATGATTAAACAGTTTGTTTTCATAGGAGATGTGTTACCCAATGAAAAGACTACATCTTTTTATTTAGCACTGTCCTTGAAAATCTTTTCTCCCATTTTACAAATGGTCTGTTGGAGGTTTTGTCCTTTTGCCTATGAATTAAGGCTCTGATGTAAAACTTCTCTGGAATGAAATACTGATTTATTTTAACCAAATACTCACCAAAGCAAGGAAAGGCTTCAGACCTTTGAATTATTAAGGTTTGGCAAAGTAGTTATAATTTTAGTTGTATTAGAGTACTTAGGTAGGAGTAGAAATTTAAAAAAAAAAATAAGTACCACAGGTTAGTGAGTGTAAGTGACAACAATTTGGCAGTTTTACGTCTTTGGAAATGTTTTGCCTTTCTAAGCCTTGTGCTAAAGGCATTTGACTTTGGTGCCTGTATCCTTAAGGAGAGAATTCTTGTCTCAAAAGTTCTCTGAACACTCACCCCCCCCAACTTTTTTTGACTGTGGGTAAATCTTGAGGGTGTTTGTTAGTCTCAAAACCGTGAAGTGACATGTCAGAACAGTCCTGACTGGTAAAGACATTAATGGCTTCACTTGAATTTAAACCAGCTCCTGAGAGGAAAAAGAAACTGTCTCCTCATTTGCTTTTTTCAGTGGGATAGCACATCCCATATTTTAGAACAAGTAGGGGTGCCTTGCTTAAATAAAAATAGCATTTAATGTATAACTGTGTGAAGGGTTTATGGATAAAGCTGTACTTCTGTCACATTGTGACAGTACCTTCTGCTTTAATATTAAACAGCTTGTTATTTAAATACTGGATCAAAATGGCTGGCTTCAAAATGTAGTCCTTAATAAACTAACTTTACGTGCACCTGTGTAGGAGAATCAAAGTCCCGTATACTTTCTTTGCCTTGTTCCTGTTCTCAGGGTGACGACTGCCACATAGTTACCAGGAGATAAAATTCTAGTTCTTAAAATTGAATTAGCCCAGATTTCTGAGAGGTGATATCTGGAAGAGAGATGACGTCTTCTCTCACTTAATACATAACCATCTTTGATTACCAGCTAAGATACGAGATCACTGTACTGTAAGTAGTCAATAAATGAAGACTTGTTTCAGGCTGCAGATTACCTAAGAGTATTTATTTTGGAGTGTGTGTATCAAGCAAATATATTTTTGTTACGTCAAATCCTGGTATAGTTTAAGAAGAAATGGCAATTTTCGTTTGTATTTTCATCATCCCATATAAACATGACTTCATTAACCATCTTAACCTATTCAGTATTAGTACTTAAGTAGAAATGTGTTTTCACGGATGGCTGAGTGTACCAAGCTCTCAGAAGTGGCGTCTGTAGCTGTGTGATCTATTAGAATATGGTCTTTTTTCTGTTTAGCAGTAGGTATTTAATTTGCTGTGGAAAAAATCTGTAGGGACTGTTGGGATTGGGGTTGGTGAGAAATTAATTCATTTGCAATTACTTTATTTTAAAGCTAATGGATTTCATTTGTACATCTCTAGGAAGAGAATGAGAGCAAAAGCATTAAGAGGTTATGTGGTGGGTAAGCGTGAAGGCGGCAAGGGGCGTCTTGCTACGCTAGCGGCTCAGTGCTCAGTACAAGAGCTGGCCGTCCTTGGGAAGTCATCTTAGGACTTCGTGTATTTTACTCCTTTAGTAGGTGATAGCTCGTGATTTAGGCTAGTAAGTGAATGATTGCTGAGAAGGCAAATGTAGCTACTGGAAGGAGAAGAAAAGCACGTAATAGATTAAAAGTAATCTTTTCTTTCCATCCAGTCGAAAGACATACTTCTGTCTCCCAAAATTTGACAAAACTGGGTTGTGTACTATCATTAGCTATTGAAAGAAGTTATGATGGTGAGTTTTGCTCTTGTGTTTGGGTCCTTTGTGTCCTTATAATCTCTTTAGTGATAAAGCTATAAAAAAGCAGGTTTAGATACAGACAGGTTACCCATCTTGCTGTGGCTAGCCACTTGAATTGTGGGGACAACTCTGATAAGTAGCTTATAGATACCAAGGAGGAGATTGTGATCTGATTGATACACTCACATCGAGAACGAAGCAGAACCAGAGTGGGTGGATGCAGCTTCTGCCAGGTGGGAAGGGAGACCGAGTCCACTGTGGCGTGGAAGGCTCTAAATCCTCACTGCTGCTGTGGTGTGGGGAGGAGGAAGCAGGAGAAGCCCACTTAGAGCCATGTGCCATTTTGAGGCAAAGGCCCTGCTTATTATTAGCATGTCCTGTCGGCATCCTCTGCCACGAACAGTCCTTCAACAGATTCTCGTTTGGAGTTTTTTCTTTGGGTTATATCCTATTCATTTTATAATTTAAAACATTCCATTGTTTGAGGAGTTTCCCCTAAATTATGTGAAAGCGTTCACATTCACCTGGCAGGACCTGTGTTATGGAGTAGAATGGTGTATCTCAGCAGTAAAGTAGAAGCAGGCTTAAGTGCCAGAGGCTTTGAAAAAAAGTGCTGTCATGTAGTAGGAATACATTTTCCCTCAATTCAGATTAGAAAAGAATCTCTGAGGTTTGTAGGAAGGGAATAAAGCTGCTATAAACATTCATGTGTAGGTTTTTGTGTGTACGTAAGATTTCAACTCATTGGGGTAAATACCAAGAAGTAAGATTGCTGGATCATATGGTAAGACTATGTTTAGTTTTGTAAGAAACTGCCAAACTTCCAAGGTAACTGTGTCATTTTGCATTCCCACTAGCAATGAATGAGAGTTCCTGCAGCAGTTCATTCTTGTCAGCATTGAGTGTTGTCAGTGTTTTGAATTTGAGCTATTTTAATAGGTGTTTACTCGTTATCTTGTTTTATTTTGCAATTCCATAATGACCTAAGATGGTGAGCATCTTTTTTATACATTTATTTGCATCTGCATATTGTCTCTGGTGAGATGTGTGTTTAGATCTTTTGCCCAGCTTTTTAGTTAGGTGGTTTTCTTATTAAATTTTAGGACAGGGATATAGGAAGGTTTAATTTAGTTCTTAAACCTTGATGATATGAAAATAAATGGTGGGGTAATTTGTAAATTGTTTATATTTTATTTTTTGAATGAAATAAAATTCGAGAGATATGAAAGGATATACAGTGAAGTCTCCCTCCCATCCTGTGCTTTAGCCACTTAGTTCCCCTACTTAGGCAACCCTGTCATTAGTTTCCAGTGTAAACTTGCAGTGATATTTACTGTATAGATAAACAAATATTTAATAGACATTTTCATTTTTTTAAAATATAAATTATAGCATACTATACATGCTGTTCTGTGCCATTTTTTTCCCATTTAATACATCCCAAAGATCATTTTATATCCATATATAAAATCCTCTCATTTTTTAAAGTGTACAGTATGGATGTACGTAATTTAACCTGTCCCTTACTAGTGAACAGGTGAATTGTTTCCAATCTTTTGCTATTGTATGCTGAAATGAATTACCTTGTATAAATTTATGTCATTTTGTACATACATAAATTTCTCTAGGATAAATGGTCAGAGTTTGTGCACTTGTAATTTATATCTAAAATTAAACTTATATCAATAATTTGTTTTTTCTTAGTTTATACCAGCAACGCAAGTGCCCATTTTCCCATAGCCTCACTAACACAGCATATTAGCAATCTATTTGCCAATCTGACTGGTTTAAAAAAACCCGCGGTGGTGTTCTCTTACGAGGTAGCATTTCATATTTAAGACTTTCTGTGAATTGTCTTCATATCCTGTCCCCATTCCCCCCCCACTATCCCCCTCTACTTATTCTCCTCATATTAATCTTAAAGCATATCCAAGGCATAGCATCACTTTATCTGAATATATTACAGTATACGTCTCTTCTTTAAAAAGGACTTAAAAAAAAAACCACCATTCCTAAAAATACTAATTTCCTATCACAAATATCTATCTGAAAAGTAATTTTTTAAAAAGTTTATTTGAATCAGGATCTAAACAACAATCCACACATTGCATTTGGTTATTATGACTCCCCTGCAACATTTTTCAATTAAAAATTTCAAGTATACAGAATAGTTAAATTATAAACATGTATACCTACACCTAGATTCTACAAGTAATATTTTGTCATATTTTCTGCATTGTGTTATATCTGTCCTTCCATCAATCTGTCTTTTTTTCTTTATAGATACCAAAGTTGTAGACGTACTTGACTCTTGAGCTTTTTGAAATACATACTGTTAGAGTTTTTTTTCTTGAGGTAAAATTTACAGTGAACAAATGTTAAGTGTACCTACCACGTGATGAGTTTTAATGTACAACTGTGTAACACAAACCTCTAGCCAGCTATGGAACATTTCCATCACATCAGAAAATTTCTTTACCCAGTCAAGTCCTGCACCTCTCCCGTCCCTTCTCCCTGTTAGGATTTTGTTTTTACCATAGATTGGTTGACCTATTCTAGAACTTCATATAAATGTATTCTTGTGTAAATTTTCACTCAGCATGTTTTGAGATTCATCTATATGTTTCAGCTCTTTGTTCCTTTTTCATTGCCAAGTAGTATTCCATTGTAGGAAAATACCACAGTTTAACCTTTCACTTAGATGAACAACTGATGGACAATGGGCTGTTTCTAGTTTTTGGCTCTTACCAATAAAGTTGCTGTGAACATTCTTGTGCAAGCCGTTTTGTGGATCTACGTTTTAATTTCTTTTGGGTAGTACTTAGTTGAATATCCTGAGTTGTAAGATTGATATATTTTTAATTTTACTAGAAATTGACATACTTTTTTCTAAAGTCATCCTGTTTTGTAAAACCAACAATATGAGAGTTCCAGTAGGTCCACATCCTCACCGTTTGGTTCCAGCTTGTAATTTTAGCCATTCTGTGTGTAGTGGTATCTCATTGTGGTTTTAATTTGCTGTTCATGACAATTGATGATAATGAACATTTTTTCATAAGCTTATTGGCCATACAAATATCTTCTTTAGTGAAGATGAAGTGCCTCTTATTTCTTTTAATCTGTGTGTTTCCCCTTCCATTTCTTTTGCCCTTATTTGAAGAAATAAGATTAACCTGTAGAGGTTTCCACAAACTGAATTTTGCCAGTTGCCTTTCTGTGATATTTATTGACCACTTTTCTAAATTGTGTTTGGTTTTTTTTCTTAATAAGAACCCTTTATTCTTGCAGTGAGCTAACTAAATACCTTTCCCCTCAGCGCTTTGTCATTTTGTTTGCTTATCATGGCAGAAATTATTTTTATCTGGTGTAATTCTTATTATTTTGGAGAGCATGCGAGTGGGGGGAGGGGCAGCAGGAGAGGGAGAGAGAATCCCAAGCTGACTCCATGCTGAGCGTGGAGCGCGACATGGGTCTTGATCTCGTGACTCTGAGATCATGACCTGAGCCAAAATCAAGAGGCGAATGCTCAACCAGCTGAGCCATCCACGTACCCCTGTGTGGTGGCAACTCTTAAATCTCCCCTTTTATGGCTGCTAGGCTTTGTGTCAGAATTAGGTCATTATAGTGAAATGATTTTGAAAGTACCTGGTGAAAAGACATGGAAACCAAGGTAGATGAGAATATGAATGGACTCAGTGAAACAAGGATCACCATGGTATATTTAAGAAAAAGTCTTTAAAATGATCCTGACTGAATTTGAAGTCCACAGGTGAAATTTCAAGTATATTCAAAGACCTGTGATCCCAAAACATAACCTGGTTCTAACTGAACTAAAGAGGCTCTCAACCTTTCTTTCTGTCACTTGGCAGTATCATCCATTTCTTGGTCTCTTCAAGAAAGCAAATGGGGGAATACAAGTTTTAATATTGGGCTAATTTTTAACCTGCTTTAACTTACAAGAATAAATTCTTTTTGATAGACCTTATAATTGAATATGAATGATGCTATTGTGTCAGAAAGCAGCACCCCCAAATGGTAAGGCAGTGTTGCTGCCTGGGGACTTTTTTGGCTTTTCTGTCCTATCTGCCTATTGGAGGCCGGAGTGCTCTCTCTTTACCAAGCTTAATTATTAACTCCTAGGACTCTGACATCCTCAGCAATGCTTACAACTGGTCACTGGCTCTATTTTTTAACTAACTTTACATTTCAGTATGCTGTCTTTGAATAAAATTTGCCTTTTATTTTAGGTGTAGAAATTGTATGTCAGATATTTGATTTCTGATTTGGTAGACATACTTACAAAATTCTCTTATACAGAAGTAATGTGTTAACAAAATTAATTGTCTTCAGGGATGTGGGGAATAAAAGATCTTGATAATTGACAAATCCCCAAGCCAACAAATGTCTAAGAAACCTTAAGATTTGACTTGAGGGACCTTTAAGGGGATATATTAGGCCAAGTTATTTGAAAGGTGTTTTGCTATAAATCAAAACATGGACACTTCTGAAATACAATTCTTTAAAAAGGGCCTACATTACATTTAGTCATCATGTCTCTTTAATCTCCCAACTTTTTTGTTTCTGACGACCTTGACAATTTTAAGGAGTACTGACTGGTCAGGTATTTTGTAGAATGTCCCTCAGTTGGAGTTTTCTGAGGTTTTTCTCATGGTTACAGTGGAGTTATAGGATTTGGGGAGGAAGAACACAAGGGTGTCATTTTCACTACACCTTAGGAAAGATTCATGATGTCAGCATGACTATCACTGACATCAATTTTGATCACCTGGCCAAGATGGTGTTTGCTAGGTGACTATATATAAATTTCCTTTTTTCTTTTTCTGTATTGTACTTTTTTTTAAAATTGTACTTTCTATATTGTGCAAGTTACTAAGCACAGCCCACGTTCAAGAGGTGGGAAGTTAAATAGTAGCTATAAAATTATTTGGAATTTTTCTGTGTAGATGTGCCACTTCTCCCTCATTTATAATCTTTTATATCAATATGGGCTCAGATATTTTGTACTTTGGCTTATAATCCTATGCTACATTATTTTGTTGCTCACACTGTTTCAGCTTTGGCCACTGGGAGCTTTTTATTGGCTTCTGTATCCCTTCAGTGTCTCCCATCCCTTGGTTTTTATGCTACCACCTTACTTTCTGGCATTACAAGATGTCCCAGGCCTAGCATCAGCCATTTCTTCTAAGAGCCCTGGTCCCTTTTAGTGGATAATGGTGTTAGAAACCAAGCTTTACGAGTGCCTGGCTGGCTCAGTCATTAACGTCCGCCTTTGGCTCAGGTCATGATCCCAGGGTCCTGGGACTGAGCCCCGCATCGGGCTCCCTGCTCAGTGGGGAGCCTGCTTCTCCCTCTCCATCTGTCTGCCACTCTCCCTGCTGTGCTGTCAAATAAATAAAATCTTAAAAAACAAAAACAAACCCAAGCTTTAGTTTCTAATGAGAGATTCGATACTGGGTTGTGCCCACTGCTACCGAGTGTTGGCTTCTAGATCCTCTCAGCAGAGCTGTGTACGAACCCATATGGGTCGTCCCCCTTCCCTCAACCCCTGGCAGCGGCCATTCTACTGTGTCTGAACTCGACTGCTCTAGGGACCTCACACAAGTGGAGTCCTACCTGTCCTTCTATGACTGGCTTGTTTCACTTCTAATGTCCTCAAGGTTCATCCGCGTAGTAGTATGTGTCAGAATTTCCTTTCTAAGGCGGAATAATATTCCATCGTGGGTATCTACCACATTGTTTCTGCTTTCACTGGTGGACGCTTGGGTTGCTTCCCCTTTTGGCGATTGTAGATGCTGCCGTGAACATAGGTGTGTAAATATGTTTGAGTCCCTGCTTTCACTTTTGAGTGTGGTATCCCCGGAGGGGGAATTGCTGTTCCTACCTGGGGATTGCGGTTCCTTCAGGACCCGTCCTGTTCCGCAGTGGCTGCACCACCACCACCAACACACACGAGTTCGTTTGTCCACGGTTTGGATGAAAGTCCGACCCATGCTATTTTTGTTGTTGCTGTTGCCTGTGCTTTTGGTGTCTTACCCGATGAACTAGTGCCAAATTGAATGTTACACTCTTTTCCTGTTTTTATTTTCCCCGAGTTCTAGTTTAGCTCGTTTGTTTAGGTCTCCCACTTCTTTTCCCTAGCATGTGGGCATCCGATTTTCTCAAGGGATTTGTTGAAAAGACTGTCCGTCAAGCCCCTTCTGGTCTTGGCAGCCTTCTAAAACATCATTAGACCATATATGTGAAGGTTCATTTCTAAGCTCTCCTATTCCACTGGTCTATGTCTTTATGCCAGTACCGTACTATTTCTTTTTTTACCATACTGTTCTGATCCCTGTAGCTTTGTACTAAGTTTTGACGTCAGAAGTGAGATCTCCAACTTTGTTCTTTTTCAAGATTGTTTTGGCTATTTGGGTGTCGCCTGAGATTCCATATAAATTTAGGATGGATGGTTCTCTTCAAAAAATACTGGGATTTTTGATAGGATTACATGGAATCTGTAGATGATTTTGGGTCATACTGGCATCTTAGCAATATTAAGTCTTCCAATTCATAAACACGGGGTGTCCTCCCATTTGTTTTGATCTTTAATTTCTTTAGGCAATGTTCTGTAGTCTTTAGTGTACAAATCTTCTGCCTCTTTGGTGGTTTATTCCTAAGAATGGTATTCTTGTTGATGCTACCCTGTGAATAGTGGAAAGCACAATTTTTAAGGAAGACAGACCTAACATGAAGTCAAGGCATTCATGACTTGGTTCCCTTGCTTTTGCGGACAGCTTCACTAATAAGAGATCTTTGGAGTTTTGTTGGGGCACAAAGAAGGCTAAGTAGCTTTATGTGTAAGTCACAATAAAATCTCAAGTGGCTAATTACATATTCTTCCTCACATTCCAGGTAGAGCTGCCTCTTTTCAATTTGATTCAAAACTAATTATAAAACAGCTTTTGCTAATTTAGGGTAATTCTCCACATTACCTGTAGCACCTAGAACAGTGCTGAAAACCTGTAGGTGGCCAAAAATAAGATGAAGAATCACACACACACACACAATATTACTTAAAGGGAAAAAAACACTCAAAAACCTAGGCTAGAATTATTAGATTTTATTTTTCCCTAGTACTCTTAAAGCTCAGCTTCACCATGTAACAGGCCAGACTTCTGGAATAACAAGTCTTTCCCAGGCTATAACCCTTTTGAGGAGAATTTATCAAGTATCATGGTTCCAGGATGTTTCCACCCCAGAATTCTAAACCAGTTACAGAATCATATCTTCTTAGGTCTTAATTGGAATCAACAATCTAGACACATTTAACATAATCAAAATAGCACATACCACTGTTTTTCTTCCCTTGTGGAATGCACTTCCCCCTCTTTTCCCCAAAGGGTTTGTTATGAAGAGATGTTTAATTATCACACTTTACAACAAACCTACCAGTTCTAATCCTTGGCTCAGAAGAAGGTAGCCTTTATTCAAAAAAATTTAATAAATATTCTGAGCTAATTGATCTCAGCCTTGGACAAATTAAAATTGTTTTACTTTACACCTGACTAAGCTTTGCTTTCAATACCTATCTGCAAAGTCAAACCCTATCTTTAAAACACAATTTTCATTATGACTTGGGAGAGCAGGGAAGGCCTAGGAAGGGAGTTGGCTTTTATTTTGCAGGAGGACATTCTGAAAAGGGCAGATATTTACTTTTGAAGTCATTAAGTGGAGAAATGGCAAATGTTCCTCTTATTCTGATACTGAAAACTTGTAAGGCCAGGACCTTTCTGGTCCTGAAACTATAATAAATTACATTGTTTTAAGTACATTCAAAATTTATATTACTCTTTAATTTCTTTTCCCTGAGTTTGGGTTCACAGTTTGGTAGAGATACTTTAAAGAGGTAGGTAGTGGGGGTGAAGAGGAAACGGTTTATGTCTAGCGGCACCTGGGGATAATATAAAACATCATTTTGATCTCAGTTAACATTTATCTTTCCCCTTTGAATCTGCAAATGTAACAGAAGGAGATGATCATTTTCCTTTTTTTTTTCTTATCTGTATGGACCCTCTCTCCTATTATATCCACGCCAGTATTATCACTATTCATAAAAATGAATAGCCCCTCCAAAGACATGTTATAAAATAAAGCCTTCAAGGTGGGGTTTAGATTTAGAAGAGAGAGGCTCAAGTGAGTAACTTTTATTCATACAGTCATTAGGGAAAGTGAGCAAACCTTCCAGCGCCCCCAGCCACTGCCTTTTCTCCCTGGACCTGGCTTATTTAAATCAGTCCTATCAACAAGGGAGTTGATTCTAAGTTCTGGGCTCTAGGAGATCCTGACATCTAACACGGGTGGAGACACCGGTCCAGGTCTTGGCTTCCAGTCTTACGATGGGCTGGTGGAATACTGTTTCATCAGACGCTCGTGGCAGGGATTGCAGACTCGCTCAGGCTTGATACTTGAAGGAAGAGGCAGTTCGTTTGTTGAGCAGCCATTACAGAAAGTTCCTCTGCAGTTCTTACACACATTCTACAAGGAAAAGAGGGAGGTTAGGCAGCGAATAGAAGGGCAGAGCATACGGATGCATGGGATATAAAAGGCCAAATATGGTAAATGCTCAATGCCTCATCAGGTATTGACTGAATGTTTGCTAGGTGCCAGAATCTGACCAAACACCATCTCTGTCTACAAAGAAGCTTACCGTCTAATTCTTAGGTCTAAATGAAGAGAAGCAGTGCCACAGAATTCCAAAGAACAGATAATATACAAATAATTTATCTTTAGAGTACTTTCATTCATCACATTCACTTTTAGGTGGGCTAATTCTAAAATCAGTTTGTAAGTACCTAAGAATAGTCCAAATAAGGCAGGCAGTGAGTGACCTAGCAATGGACTGGGTAGCCAGCCTAGGATTACAAATTTTGCCGAGCATGAACCGGAAGTAAAATTCCCAATACACTGATGTACTTACTGCTCTCCTAGAATGCTCCATAAGCACATCCCTTGGGATATCAGTGCAGCAGGAGCACAGCTCCGTGCATCCTCTTTATAGGGAAATTAGTCTCTTTCTGAAGCATTCTGAGTCTTTAGCGGTCATGCAATGGGGCGGCACGTGGGTTATTATGCAGTGTCACTGGTAAGGCTGTGATAGGGTGGAGCACACATAGCTCCAAGGGTCCCTATATAAAGGCTGTGAAGAGTCACTTCCCCCATTAATAATGCCACTTCCTCCCAAACAATTCACCTTCCTGACGGTGCAGTAGAGGTAGGGGGTCACTTTTATTTGAAAGCCTGAGAGGAATTTTCCTCTGACATACTGCAGTTACTCTGCATGGCTTAGAAAAGCCAGAATTAGATTAGCAGTTTCTTTATTTGGGGACCTATTTCTAGAATTCCAATTCTAATTCTATAAAGGCAGTTCATCTTTCTTGGATTCTGCTAATTTAAGACGAGATCACATTATAATTTTGCTTGTTAAAATTCAGCAAGATTGCAAATGGCGGCATGCAGGTTGCAATCCAGAATTTGGGCACATTTCCTTATCTCTTCCAAGCACCTGTTTCTTACAGTCATTTGTCCATTTCTTGAGCATCTACAATGAAATGGGCACCATATTACATCCTGGGGGATACTACTATGAGTGGGTCAAAGACCTGACTATCAGAACACTCACTGTATCTGAACACTTCCTTCACTCTGCCTACTCTAACAAACTGGGGAAGTGCTCTGCCAGAGACCCCTGATGATCCGGGGGGAAAACAAGTGATTTTGGTGGAGAGGGCTCATTTCCCTCGCAGAGGCTGATTCTCCAAATAATTCAAAGAATCCCCCCGCCCCCCCCCAACTATTTGATTTGTTCTAAGCAGGATGAAGTATTAGAGGAGTATAGATTGTGGGGCCAAAGTCAGGTTGCAGCCTGTGGGCTTTGCCACTTATGACTTGAGTCAACTTTGAGAAGTGTACTTAAAATCTCTGAGCCCAAGGTTCTTCATCTATAAAATGATGGCACAAAGGAGATAAGCTTTACAACAGGACTTGGTCTATGCTTGTTCACTTCTCTTTCTCCAGCCCATTCCACACAATAGGCACTCAATAAACATTTAGTTATAAATTTAATCTTTAAAAGTTGTATTTATTTTAATGGGGATTTACCGACATGACTTACTATGACTGAAAAAAAATATCTATTTTTTAAACAGGTATTTTATAAATGCTTGTTTCTTTTTGCTCTTCTCCCCACTCTGTACTACACACAGCAAAGTCCCTATTATTGAAAGGGACATCCCTACGAAGAACCTGTTTGGGTCTCACCACTGTTATCTTGGTTCGGCTGCCATCTTCCTGGCACAGCTGACACGTCTGTGGCTTTTCAGAGAGCAGCGGCTGATCCTAAACCACATATTAAGCCAGTTAGTTTCTCTTAGCCCCAGAAATATTAATACTTTCAGAATATTCATTTTCTTAGTTACAAAATTAACAGAACCGCACTACAGACTATCTGGAAGCTAAAGAAACAAATGACATATGGTTCTAACACCTTAATACAGCTCTGGTAATCCCATCAATATCCTTGGAGCTCTTTTTATTTTTATAAAAAAGTAACGTGACTTTATTTATAAAAAGAAAAGTCTAGGATACGAGTGTGAAATAGAAAGTTAAAAAAAGTCCCGTCCCTCTTGTCCTACTATATCATCAAGAATGGAAAGCAGTAGGCTTTTTTTTATATCTCACTGGTTAAATGACAGGGTGGCTCAGTCACAGACACATTTATCATCTTTCTCTTTGCAGTTGTCATATCCTATTATACTTGCAAAGTATCTTGCAACCATTTATATTTGTCTATTTCCAAGTGATCAAGACGAATTTTTTTCTGTTTTATGGAAGGGAAAACTAAGGGAAAAAGAGGTACAGTGAGTTCTCTTAGGTCCCACAGTATGGCAAAGAGAATTTCAAGTAAGAAGTGAGACCTGCTGTTTACTTAGTAAATTGCTCAGAGCTCTGCTACTTCCGGTGAAAGTTTCAGCCAAAGGCATGTTTGTTAAGGATGCTGTTAAAAGGATGGGCCCCAGGGGCCTGTGTGCATTCACTGACTTTCCAGGCTGCCTGTGTACAGCTAGGGATAGCACAGCCAACTACGTAATTCATACAAGATGTCAGAACGGGAGAATCCATTACCTGCTCATCCACAGGGTGAGACTGCAGCCTACAATGGAAAATTAAAAACAGGAACAAACAGCAACTTACTATATTTCTATGTGAATCATTTCAAAAGCACAGAAAAAGCAACAACATGGTTCTTTAATGTTGTTGGCACAAGTTGTCAATCTTGACCTCCAAGGAGAGGAAATTTTGGTTGTTAAATCTATTAGCAGAATCTGATCCTTGACCTACATTATGGTTCCTGTTTAAAAACAGACTTGGAGTTATATTGTATGCCTTGTTTTTACTACCAAGAAAATACTTCAGCATTTGTATCCCAGCCTGTAGAACTCCAATGGCCAGTGCTATCCATTTTAATATCTTTTACTATATTAGTCGACCCATTATATGTCATGTATTCGTCCCCTCTTCCAAATGTCCTTAAAATGTGAACTTCTTCAGCAAATTAATCAGGGTAAGGGAAATGAATGAGACTGTCACAGGAGTACCCATTCAGGCTGAACTATTTCTTCCCGAGACCTAGCTGAGCTCACCCTGATTTTCCCAATTTGGAACAGAATTTAAGAGGAGCAGTTCTGGGGATAATACACCACAGATCCACAGTGGCTCTGAGTCTCCACGGAGTGGCAGTGTGACCACCAGTGTGACCAGGTTTCCAGGCTGTTCCTTGGACCATAATCCCAAGAAACCTGGCTATGTTTTAGGATTGTTGTTCCGGCCAGGACAGGCTTTGGAAGCAGCTATTAACGGCAAGCAAAGGAATCAACAAAGAAAACAATGTAAGCAGAGGCCACTTATAGGTGAGACACCTCGCCTCTCTGTGCTCCTCAGTTTTCTCATCTGGAGAATTACATTTTTAAGGAGATAATGAATGTGAAACACACTATTTAAGCTGCAAAGCACAATACAGATAGAAGGTAGTGTTGTCTTATATTCCCATGGCCGAAATCAGAGGCTGGCATGTAAGGTACTCCTGATTGTCTGTAAATGGCTTGGTTTTAGTCTGGAATGGGGCTGATTCTGAAAGGCTCTTTTATGCCCTCGTTAATTTTACAGCCTTTCTAGTACCTTTCTGTGGCCCATGCTGATCTGTAGGGTAGTTTAAGGTTAGTCCTGGATTAGGCCGTGCTCTCTTAGGGAGTAAACTTAAAGGCTTTGGAATCATTCTGGCCTTGGAGGTCAAGTACCTGCATAACGAGTTTTTTGTTGGGACTGTGTGATTTTTCTTCTCCAGCAGCGACTTTGCTCAGGTAACACTCTACCTCATTCTTGAGGCATCAAAGCCTGGACAGGGACAGTTGCCAAAAATGTATGCTGTATAGTGCTCTCCAAGCCCCTCTGTGCTATCTTTCTTGTTACTAACCTTTGCTGCTGTTGTTGTAACAGACTGATTCTGGGAGCAGTTTTAGGTTCATAGCAAAACGGAACAGAAAGTACTGACGTTTCCCATACACTTTGCCTGCCCTCCCCCCTTCCCCCAGTATCAACATTCCACACCCGGCGGTGGGGGGGGGGCGGCGCAAACGATGTGACAATCGATGAACCTGCATTACACATCATAACTACTCAAAGTCTGCAGTTTGCATTAGGGTTCACTCTTGGTGTTGTACATTCTAGGGGTTTGGACAAATGGAGGACATGTATCTATCATTACAGTACCATGTAAGTATTTTCACCATCCTAAAAAATGCTCTGTGCTCACCCATGAATACCCCCGAACCCCTGGCAAGCACTGTTTCCATGGTTTTGGCTCTTCCAGAATGTTATACAGTTGGACCTCCTTCGCTTTTTAATGCCGTGGCACCATGTAACATTGTTATATTTCTACCTGCTAAAATAATTGTTAAAAGTCAATTTCCTTGAAACAATCCTATGGTTTTCATAGTGAGCAGATCAGATGAAGAGTTAAGAAAAAGGCATCAAGTTAAGCTGTTTGAGACCCTTAAGAGAAAGGACACAAAGAAAATGAGAGGATTTATTTGAAACATAGCTGCCTTTCACGTAGCATGTAGGTGGAAACAAGTCATACTCGAGTACATTTAAGAACCTAAGAATTGCTATGATTTGTACTCCGTTCCTCTGTGATACCAATCCAGTAAAGATGAGAAATAATCTCTGAAGTGATAGATAATTTGAGTTTGGGGATTAACCAGGGAAGAGTCAGAGGGCAGCTTGATCACCCTTCTTTCTTCTGAAATGGACTAAGTGGGTTTGGTTTAATATGTGTTCTCTGGTTGATTTAGTCACTCCCCCTTCAAAATGTCTTTCTGGAATATTAATATTACAAGTCAGTGTCTGGTCTGTGCCACTGCCAATTATATCAAAAGCGCCCTCTTTCCCACCACCCCCAAACAGCGTTATGTCTTCGTTAGTACTTTATTAACAAACACCTGTGGCTTTCGTCCAGGGGCCTTTTTGGTTTAATATTTTCCTCTTGAATTTTGTGCTTCCCATCCTGCCAAGAGAAAACAGCCCAATTTATTAGTTATTCAGAAGGCTCAACAGTGATGATGTTGCAGACATTTTCTTCTGTACTGTCTTAGCTTAGGTATAAAACTAAGCAGCTTTTTTGTTAGGGAAGGAATTTAACTTTCGAGATATTTTCCCTCATTCTTTGCTCTAAGTAGTTTCTTAACAAATTGTTCCGATAGAGTTTGCAACAAATGATTTTCAGAGTAGATATTTTCCTTCTTAACTCTTGCAATTCAAATAAAATTCAGAATATATCCTATTTATTTACAGAGTGGGCTCAAAGTATCAGTTACGTCTTAGGGTATCTTAGTTACTTCCGTGTATCTACATCTGTCTCCACCCCCGAGTCCCAGCTGGGCTCTGGAAAACTGGGGAAACCAAGCACCCCGTATCGAGCAGACTGTAATCCTCTGGCACTCAGTCAAGTAGCTGCCACGATGTCACGACAACTTACGCAGCCCATACAACCTGAGGAGTTTTCTACTCTGAAGGACCGATGTGAAGTTCCAAACTGCATTTCTACCGAAGCTTGGAAGCCCTGCCTGGGCAGTTTTTAGTGACAAATTCTTTCTGTGGCACACACACACTGCTGTCTGTCCTGAGCTGCCGTCCATCAGCCTCCAAAAATAGAATGCACGTTCTTAGACCCCTCGTGTCAGGGAAAGGAGGTTAACGCAGTATTTACACTCGTGGAGCCTCTACTGCAGGGCAGTTCAAGACTGAGGAACGTAGGGCCTCACTGGAAAAGCAGGGTAAGATCGGACAAGAATGTGAATAAATCTCCGTAAGCCCTGCTAAGTAGATTTCACGGTTGCTAAACTAAACTAATAAAGATGGCATGCTACAAAAACAGTGGTATTTTGCACACTTTAAATGAGTAGTAATGAGTACTATATAATACATTTCTATTTACCATTATTTGCTATTCTCCAGCAAATTGGCATCTCTCTAGAAATGTTAAATAAGAAGCTTATACATTTGTCCTGCTTTGTTATATATAATATAAACGAAGAAGCTACTTTTTTCCTGTGTTTGTCTTTGAGTAAGTATTCCATACTTTTCTGATTTTACTGTTTGAAGAGGTTGGCTCCTGTTTCCTGGGTCCCAGAGATGGTCTTATTCAACTTTAGCTTCCTCACCATTATAGGAGCTGGGGGTCTCTCTCCTAAGACTGTTGTGTAGAAACTTCTACTGCTGTTCTTTAGACATTCTGTATTACTTTCTTTTCCCCAAGCAACTCCAGTTCCCTCTTGTTCTAATTTTCCCGAGAGAAAAGTACCTTGAGTATACTAAAACTGAAATCCTCATGATTCTGAAAAAGGCATACAGAAGCAAATCCACATTTAAGACAATTCTGTTAAAGGGAAATTCAGAGTTGGGAAGGATTACTATAACATATTATTAAAGATACTAGCCAGCAGAAGTCCGAGGAACACAAGTGTTTGTTAAGACACCCAAATAATCTTACTTAAAGTGAAAGGGATAAGAGGGTCACTGGAAATCATGGTTATGAGGCCTCTTTTCCATGTGAAATCAAGAGAGTATCTAGAGGTAGACTGAGAATCAAGGCCTTGTGTTCACTCTGGGTCCTGTCTGCAATCTACATACTCGAGGCCACAGCATTAAGCTTGTGTTCCCAGAGAGAAAACTGTCCGGCCCATCAAGGTAGCCTCTAAAAATTAAGTAAATGACCAAGAGAATAATCCAATATTACCGTTTTGGGTTCTGGCTTCTGAGAAACCTTTCCTGGGATGCTCCTGTTGTTCTGTAACCTTCTTTCTCTTTCCAGTTTTAGTTCTAACTCAAGCTGGTGCCTGGGATGGGCGGGAGAGGAAAAGGATCAAAATTTGGATTTCTGCACTCATATTCTCTAAAGAATGCCAAACCCTTTTCTTAAAGCTCAGCAATTAAATTTTAATACTTGATTAATAAAAAGTTACCAGATATATATGGACAATCAGGTTTTAAGGTGTTAAAACACAATACAGTAAAACCAGTAACACTAAAATACAGATAATGTTTAATCTTTCCTGGATAATTAAGAATGTACTTTAAGGGTGGCTCAGTCGGTTTTAAGTGTCTGCCTTAGGCTCAGGTCATGATCTCAGGGTCCTGGGATCCAGCCCCACATGGGGCTCCCAGCTCAGCAGGGAGTCTGCTTCTCCCTCTGCCCCTCCCCCTGCTCATGCTCTCTCTCTAATAAATAAATAAAATCTTAAAAAAAAAGGACGTGCTTTAAGATCTCCCAGTGCCTAAGGGTCACCACTCTGAATATCAGTATTTAATAGTAACTCTTAATAAAGAGTTGTAGTCAACTGAATGACATTTAGTAGGATTTACTATAATTAAAAGACAGTATTTACAAAATTTCAGCAAGAAACAGTAAGAAATCACCAACACTGTCGTCCCATTTCATCTTAATTAGCTGGTCTCTCTTTAATGTTCAATGCCCAGTTCCACTGCCAGCCACTAGTGTCCTTAGTAGCCATGTGCTTTTATATCCAACAACAAAGTTCTCTTTGTTTGAAGTCAATGGCTTCAGCAAAGAATTGAGTCTCATTTGACAGGCAATATGGAAGAGTGGTTAAGGACTCGGAGTCAGAGAGAGACAGACTTTTAGAGTGCTGCCACTTACTAGCTGAACTGTGTCAATCTGGACAAACTGAACCCATTAAGCTTAATTAATTTCATCTGACAATGGGGGTAAGACAATTACCTACTAACAGGGTTGATGGGAAGATGTTAGGACCAAATGCCTGTGTAGTACTTTGTAAAGTTCGCAGCACACAGTAAAAATTTAGGGAATACTATTATTATCAGTGTTAGTTGGCTATTAACTCTCATTCCTTTCTATTTATCTGGGACCTTGTGTTCTAATTTCCTCCTTTGATGGCAAAGCATGTTGACAAACTTTGGAAATGCTGATATATGCAAAGCTTCCTGAATGCTAATTCCAGAGAAACCCTGGCTCAGGGTTCCTCCTTCTCTTGCTGCTAGCCTTAGAACTAACCCCCCCCCCCTCCCGGGGCAGCTCCTGGCACCCTTTCTTCACCGCTGCCTGGTGAGCTCCTCTACTTCCAGCTGCAGACTGTTGATCTTGTCTCCGAAGTCCTGCTTGAAGAGACGGTTGTCCAACTCGGCAGACTGGCGGCCTCGCTCAGCCTGGCGCAATCTGGATGTGAGCCATATGAACTTGTGATAAAAAACAAAAGCCATGGTGGGGAGGAAGACCAAGCTTACAACACAAAATAAAGCAACCCAACGAAGAAGGCGTGGAGAGACAGAGGAGAGGGGAAAAAAAAAAAAAGCTTTGCAGGACACAGGGGAAGAAATTATACGGGCGGCGGGGGGTGGGGGGGGAGATGGAGAAGAAACAAACTCTAAAGAAAAGCAAGATGAAGGTGAACCAGGCAGAGGAAAAGTTGATTTTCCATTTTTTTTTTATTCTAGTACTACAGTTTACAGCCATTAGATGATAAACAATAAAACATCACTTTTTAGAAAATCCATATCCAAAGCCAACACAGTCCATTAAAGTTAAACCCACTTTTTCGTGTTTATTTCCTAATAGGTCTGGTACCTTATATTTCTGCTTTACACACATAACTGGAACTTGCAAATGGGCAACTACTTTCTTATATGTGAAATTAGAACATTTTCCTGGTCCTTTCCCTATACCACAACTTATATTAAATCACTGACATTGTACATTAACCCTTACCTAGGCTTTGAGTTCTTCTCTAAGGAAAAGCCTTTGTCAGAGTTTGGCCGTCTCTTTCCTTTTCCATTCCTACCAGGTGGTGTGTGACCAAGTGGACAAACAACTCAGCACTGGGCCTATGTAAGATTCCTGATCATATTCTCTAAAAAATTCTAATGAATGTTTTCTTCTATATATCCCATAACTTTGCACCTATAAAGAACCATGTTCTAAGGGGTGAAACATCTGGGGCTCTATAGAATAGAATTGGAGAGCATGCTACCTGTAGTCTTTAAAACGTTTTATTTTAGTGGTTGAGCACTCTTTCCAAATGCTCATAGAAAAGGCAACTCATCACCACAAAAGGTTGATGAAGATAAGAATAGGTGCAAAATTATAAGAACTAAAATAAGTTCAAGAGCACACGTTATTCCGTGAGGTTGGTCATATGCTCTTTGACTTGACTTTGGTTCAAGTCTGTAAGGACCTATAGAAGCACGTGTGAAATCTCTTACTCTCTTAATTCTGGTTTTTCCAAGAAGAAGGTAAAGAGTTTCAAAAGCTAGAAGCAAAGGGGGGTTATCTTTGTTCCCACCTAAGCAGCTGAAATGCTGCAAATCATAACAAAATGAGAAAAAATATTTTTTTTTCTGCCAAGACTTTTTGAAGGAATGAAGGCTTATGTAAAGCCTGTTCCCCCAAATCAAAAGTCATCAAAAAAAAAATCCAAGTATTTATAGGATTATTTACAATGTAAAGCCTAGAAAGGGGAGTAGAACTGTGGTCACTTAGAAAAAGAAGCCCTGCTAATTACTATGTATGGATACCTACTGGGAATTTTTATTTTTAGACTAAATAATAAAGAGTTTATCATGTATCTGTTTCCTACGCTGAAATGGTTTTCTAATAATTAGATTGTTAGTTTCCCAGAGACATTAGCAAATCCCCATCTGAACAGAAAGTAACAGAAACTCTTAAGTAAATGTCTCTAGCAAGAAATGACAGGTGGGAAACCATCACTCATGTCTATACCTTGTTGTCTTTACTCCAAAAGGAAAAGCAGAATAGATCTGAAAATTGTGTAATGTCGTGTTTTTTGTTTTTGTTTTTATGGGAGACGAGTTTTTTCATTAAAATTATTCTCTCTGAGCTACCTAAATAGGAAGTGGAATTGCAGGAAAATGGCAGAGGTAGAAGATGACAAATATTAGGAGGGTTTTCCAAGCTTCCACATTATGTTATCATAAGTTACCTAATCACTAACTTTATCTCTATGTACTTTAAAGAAATGTAAGGATGTGGGTCCCCACCCCCCCCAAAGTCACTAAGGCAAAAAAGTTGCAAGCAATCTTGGTTACTGAGAACAGAACTGTAGTGAAATACTAAGTACTTATCCGTGGCTTGGGGAGTAAACCTACACAAGGAAAGTGGAAAGGGACCATGGCCTAGGAGACAGAGCGACTGTAGAAGAGTCCAAGTCCATACGGCTGTCACCTGTGGTTCATTACACTGCAAGGCAGAGCAGGCTCGCTGGTATGGACAGCACACCTAGAACCTGATATTGTCTGGGCCTGGGCTATAAAGGCATCAATAATATATGCACAGAGCGTCCATTCCCTAGGCTGTTTTTTTTTTTTTAAATGGTGTGTTTATTTATTGGTCAACATTTAAATGGTGTGTTTACTTATTGGTCAACAAAGTAATTTCTCAAAGTTTACTTGGCAATTAATTAAGAACTTATACTAAATGTTCTAACTCTGGGGAGAAAGTAAAGAAGAAAAAACCCACGGCCTAGATATCAAATTGTTTTTTTTTTAAAGTCCAACAAATTCAGAGTCAATTTTTGGTGACATTTTATGTAGAATCAGAGCTTAAATGTAATAACTTTCAGATTTCTTTCTTTACAATTAAGTTGTACATCAGACTTGCGAGGTGACCAAATGCAAATGCCTAATGATGTTTTGGGATCAGTTTATTTGCTGCACTATTTAAGGTCTTTGCCTGTTTCACCAAATCCTTTTCACTAAATTAGTAAAATAAAAATAAAAATGGAGTGAAAGGCAAATGAGAAAATGAATAAATGGGAAAGACAAAAATAGCAAGAGAATAAGTCAGCTTAATACTTGAAGAAGTCATTATTTTAGTTCTGTCTACTTCAAATGCCAAGTCAAAAAACTATTGAAAAATAATTCTATGCAACATTTCAAAAACCCAATTTATGAACACCAAAATTAATTTGTTAAATCATAAACATATAACTGCTTATGAGCAAGCACTTAGGGAACTTTCCAGATGGACCGATACCTTTTTATTTAAAATCAGCCAAATCAGAAGTTTCAAACGTATTTACTAATTTGCAATAACTTGTGAGTTACCATTAATATGCAGTGCCATTCAGGACGCTCCCCGGTCAAGAATTATCTGAATAAAACCAGTCATCCATTCATTTGTTCATTCATGCATCTGCTAAGTGAATGCCGTGTATGTTCATGGCACTAAGACAGATCCAATGAGGGAACTTAAAAAATTCATTAAGTAACCTGGAGGAACTCACACTCTCATCAGAAGATACATCTATAAAGGGTTATAACGTGGGGCAGAAGGTGACAAGCAAGCAGCATGGACAGGTATGGATGTAAGGCTATGGGAATTCCACGAAGGACAATGGGTAGATTATTTTTATCTGAGAAGCAGCATCAGCGGAAGCTTTAGGAGAGGTGGTGGCATTTGAGCCTGAATGTACAAAACGGATCTGAAGAACAAGGCAGTGGATGAGGAATGGCCTTCCTAGCTGGTGGAGCTATCAGGCAAGGGACGGATGGAAAAAGTGCAAGCGTGCGCAGAGGCCTGCAGTCGTGCAGTCTGGCTCAAGTGAAAGAAGGGTGATCAGTGGGTGTTCAAGGTGGCAACACAGAATGACTGGCCACGCGGAATGTTCCTTCAGTCTTGAAATCTCGGCCATTTCTCTTGGCAGCTAAGTCACCACAAAGGAAATGGCGGTTTCAGCCAAACAGAAACAAAAGTAGCACAGGGAGAGGATGTGTTTCGGGCTGACTGAAATGTAGGTACCAGACGGAAACAGCTGGTCAGAGGATGAAAACCCAAGACTGGGTTTTTAGAGGGGGACAGAGCTGGAGACAGACCTAAGATTGTGGGCAGGGGTGACAGTGGACACTACAGAGAAAGAAGAGAGCAAAAGGAGATAGGAGGGAGGAGAGAAAGGAGTTCAAGTGTTGGAAGGGCCTTCAGTATCCTGGCATCACTAGCATCAGTGCATTCCAAGAATTTGGTGACACAGAGGAAAACAACAACTGCAAACATACGTAAAAGTGCTTTCAGAGCGCCTGGGTGGCTCAGTCGTTAAGCGTCCGCCTTCGCCTTCGGCTCAGGTCATGATCCCAGGGTCCTGGGATCAAGTCCCACATGGGGCTCCCTGCTCGGCAGGGAGCCTGCTTCTCCCTCTGCCCCTCCCCCCTTGTGCATGCATGCTCGAACTCTCTTGCAAAAATAAATAAATAACATCTTTAAAGCCAAAATAAATAAATAAATAAAATCTTTAAAAATAAAAAAAGTGCTTTCATCCTTGTAGGTCTCCCTCCTCCAACATGACATTGAAATGGGATTATACAAGAGGGTTACCATTCTGCTGTTCAAAACAGTCAGGAGAGGCTGAGGTTTCTTAAAAATGTTTTCAGTGACATCTTAGAGAAACACAAAATTTAACTGGCTTTCTACCAGCATGTCTGGTGTTAAGTTGGGAGAATTTCATACACTTTGCTTGCCAAATGCATAGCACATTCTCTTCCCTTCCAGCACTGAAAGCCCAAGATGTTTCACTCAAGAAATAGCACTTTTACCTTTGTTCGAGTTGTTTGATGGTAGCAGCCATCTGATTAGTCTTCTCTTCCAAACGACTGTTTAGTTCACTTTTCTGTTTTACTCCTAAGTCTGAACTCTGTTATGGAAAAGAAGTATGAGTGACGGACATAGAATATAAAATCCTGAAATAAATCACACATGCCTTTTGAACCTAATGGTAAGTGTGAAACAGAGAAACAGAAATGCTCATATATTTGTATATCAGTTAATTCCCAAATGGAGAAAAACAAAAAGCAACGTTTAAAATTAGTACTGCTATATGCAGTTTTGTCACAGAAATGAACATCAGAAGGTTCATCAATAATCATATTTCAGTATAAGAACTAATGGCATATTGCTCAGCAAAATCAGTCAGTCAGAGAAGGACAAATACCACATGATTTCACTCATGTGTAATTTAAGAAACAAAACAGATGAACATAGGGGAAGGGAAGGAAAAATAAAACAAGACGAAATCAGAAAGGGAGACAAACCGTAAGAGACTCTTAACTCTAGGAAACAAACTGAGGGTTGCTGGGGGGGGGAGGGGGGTAACTGGGTAATGGGCATTAAGGAGGGCACATGATGGAATGAGCACTGCGTGTTCTATGCAACTGAAGAATCACTAAAGTCTACCCCTGAAACTAATACACCACATGTTAAAAATTGAATTTAAATAAAGAATGACAAAAAAAAAAAAAGAGCTAATGGCATATATAAGTCAGTTGACAGGTTAGGCTGGAGTGTAGAAATTATCTTATAGGATAAAAAAGACCTGTTTCCCCACTACAATTTGAAAAGTAGCCACGGCTTTCCAGAACAGCAACACAGGATCCTACGACGGGCTGATTCCTAAAGTGGTTTATTGGCAGCCAGCCTCAAAATGAGATGTGACTCTTCCCTCCTGTATGTCAAGTGTGATTCTAGAGAACAAGAGGGGCAGGGGGAACCCTGGGAGTTGAGAGAGCCAGTGAGCATATCCCTCTTATTCGCCCTACCTGCAGCTTAAAGGCAAGTTCATGCTTGAGAGCCCTGAGGTCATCCAACTGCTGTCGCAGCGACACCAGGGCGTCCTGCTTCTCGCAGACATCCTTCTCCAGCATCTTCATAGCTAATTCCATCTCCTGTCTCATGCTGATCTGGATCTCCAGTTCTTTTTCAACATCCTGCCCCCAAAGGTAAATAAATTGCTTACTCTCTCTTTCCTCAACGAAGTACAAACTATGAAATTCCACAGGAAAAGGTATAAATTCCAACACTCTCAGGTCTGAATATTTGGGCAAAATAGCTACAAGCTATCATTCAATGCAGAGATATTAACAACTAAAATAATAACTAGGATAATTATAAAAACATTTACTCAATAATTTGTAAATCCAAAAAACTTGGTGGGCCGGAGATAATGCTATTTAATATGTCTAAAATAGACACATACTTGTGGCACTTCATTACAGTGAGACAACTGATGTCATGTCCTATTACAGAAATGTATATAAAGTGCTACTGTAGCCAGCATTAAAATGAAGCACTTGCAATTCTCTTCATTTTGAATGTTGACGTCATAGTCAAGAGCCCAAGGAACCCAAAAGATATTCTGGGTCGCCAGGGTAAACGTCTCAATAAGTGGGAATGATCGATATGACTAACTGAATTTTTATATTCACTTAATATGAAACCCCTTTTTTGGTTCAATCATTATTACTGCAACATGACTTGGAGGATCAAAGATACAACGACCTGAGGTTCTTCTGCATCCAGGCTGTTCCCTGGGGCATTCTAGGACCTACTTGCTTGGTTTCTTTCCTTTTTGACCAAACATGTATCTTTTCGTGACAAAAGGATGTGGAAAATTTTGTGTCAGATTTTAAAGTCACATGTGCCACTTAATTGAGGTGCTCCTCTGTGCACGGTTAGCTTGATTAAATCAGATTGCTTCTGAAAATGCTGACATATTTTAGGATCTTCCATATAGAAAGTATTTTGAGATCTAATCCATAAACACGTAGAAGGAAAATGATAATTATTTCAAGGATGTTAAAATTATATTGCTATCTTCTCAGAACATCTGAAATTCTATACACTGTTAGGTGGTGATAATTTTAGTACAAACCAGATCACCTTTATTTTCAGGCTCCTTCCTATTTTCAGAGATACTACTGGTGAGGGGAGATCCTTTTGTTTGTCATATCATCAAAATTGCAGGAGGAGTTAATTTACCAATACCAGGGATGTATCAATATACTAACACTTGGATAAAATCTATTACAGGAGTATTATTCATTATTATACATTTATACACACACACATACATCCTCCAAGGAGACCTATCAGAATCTTTGCAGGAGTGAGGACTGAAGTAGGAGTGGGGAATCACAAAGTTTAGAAGAGTAGGTTCCCCATATACCTAATGTTCTTATAACACAAACTATAAAAGCAAAAAAAAAAAAAGATTGGCAAAAATCCTGTTGGCTGTTGAGAGTACTCAGAAAATGGACTGGGAAAGCATTATAGGGAATATGGGTTAAAAAGAGTGAGAAACATACACCTGAAACTAATGTAACACCGTGTGAACTACACCAAAAAAAAAATTAAAAAACAAGTCACAGAAGCAACTGAAGTACTGCAAGAGTTACAAAAGACCTCTGTACGAACAACATTCTCTTCAGCAAATAGTGTGATATGGAAAAATCCACCCTAAGACTTAGCTAAGAGGGCTTTCTCAATGTCATTTCAGTTGAATCCGATAATTAAAAATTTTCTACAGTTTTCCAACATGCAAAATCCACTGTATTCATCAATAAGCAACTAGCCTTTCCTACGGAAGAAGGTAATATCCTTCATAAAGAGTGTTGAGCACTACATCCGAAACTAATGACGTACTCTATGTTGGCTAATTGAATTAAAAGAAAAAAAAAAAGGAAAAAAGAGAGTGTTTTATGTAAGTAATGTCCAGTGAAGGTAAAAATCAACCATATGAAAATTTGCCTTTATGTCTAATTATATTCATAATGTACTCAAAATTAAAAAAAAAAAAAAGAGTGAGAAACAGTTTTTTAGGATCTACAAAAATTTTTTGGCCCAGTACTAATGTTCCTGAGCCTGGTCTGTAAGATCAAACGTCTAAGTGGGCTTTTATGTTTAATGGGTTCCTGAACTACTAGAACATAAGTGAAGTTTACCAGTCGCAATTGTGTCTCCTCCTTTAAATGCTTTCTGGCTTCACTCAGTGCTTGCCCTTCTGCAGTTCTGTCCTGCTTAGGACCCTTGAAAAGATAAATAAAATAGTATATATATATATATATATATATATATATATATATATAAGGATTTAGAAAAATCTATATAGAGTTAGCTGACACTAGGGAAAATGATTATATTTTATATTTAATTAAACAGGTATAACAATGAATAAAGACAACAAAGAAATGGAAGCAGCTTAGAAAATAAAAAATTCTCAGCAGAACTGGGTTTTCTTGCCATTTAGTTTAAAGTCCTAAGATAGGTTACCAAATCAAGTGCAAGAAGTCTTAAAAGCCTCTAAAAACAAAGTGACATTTACTGTAAAATGTGAATTGGGCCAAAGGTTCAAATGGTAATATATTCCTTCTCCAGAGATCTCACATTTGGAGTCTCCAACCATCCAGAGAGATCGTAGCTCAAAGTAAGTAGGTCATCAGAAAATTCTTCTGAGCAGTCACAGTTGTTTTCACAACGTCCACATGTTAAAGTCAAACCCATTACTCAGAGAGAACTACTCTAGTCCCCACTCAGAGCCTAGCTGCTTACTCTTTCAGAACAATTTTAATAACCATGGATATTTGGATTCCGAGGTCACAGAAGAAGAGAAGCATGCAGATAAAAGGGAGTGGGGAGACACTAATACCAACAGCAGTGAGAAGCAAGAGATGCCAGTGAGATCAAAAAAGCAGAGAAAAAGCACCCAGAGCAATCTGGAAACATTTAAGTATAGGTGCTAGAAGCTCTATCAATTCCAACAGGCCCCCAAAGTAGCGTCATTTTAAGTTAGCATGGAATTGCCGATGTTAATAATTAGGATCTTTAGTCATCATAAACGGCTAAATGTGTTAAATTATGTCCTTTACTTAAGACTGCTTAGGATTGTGCAGTACATAAAAAGTTTGCAAAAAATCCGTGTAGACATATATCAGAAGTTTGATACTTAAGGGATTAAGTTATTTAGAAAACTCATTTACATGGTAACTCCCAGTGGTACCAAATAAACACTCCTTACAAAGCAGTAACATCATCTCAAAACGATGGTATATTTAATATAATAAATATAACACTTAAATATTGTACAAATCATGAGTATACAATAAGACATTAAATTAGACTGGTTCTTGAAGTTTCTCAACAGATAGAGGTGGCGGTGAAGCCAAGGAGCATCTGTGGGAGGAACCTCACACCCACAGAACCTCCATCATTACCCGATTCTGCATGGAGTCTCAGTAAAAAGAGTGTGCTTGATATGTGCAAGTGTTTGCTGCTTCCAAAGAGTCCTCTAGAGTAGAGGTCCCCCTCCCACTGCTCACATGTTAACACACTCTCTAGGAATATTTTATAAATCCAGTAAGGTTAACCTTCCGATTGGATTCCAATATGTAGGAGCTTTCCTCTTTAACTCGTTCCATTTCTTCTTGTAGGGTAATAATCCTATTGTTTGCAACTGCAAGCTGTTGAAAAAAATTTAAAAAATTTTTTAATCTTTTTTTTAGCACAGGATAATTCATGATCTGCTAGGATATAATTTTCAGGCTTGAATATTCTTAGAAGGAAAAAAGGTTATCTATAACCACATAAAAATGTTCTTATTGTATGAGAAATTAGGAAAAGTATTTTTAAACTAGATTAGATAAAAATAAAAAATATCTCCTATTGTTGCTTTTTGTGTAAACTCTTTTTCAGTACCAAAATGTTAACTTAAGATTGTTTACCTTAAGGGTGTTCTCATGGGTAACTTATATTTAGTTATAATACCTATTTCTAAAATGTTTAATGAAGAGGTCATGTCATGCCTTGGGACTCATAAACCCTACATATGACCTTTGATAGATGATTTTTAAGAGTAAAGAAATGAAACTTCAAAGTTCTCACTCTAAAAGATGCCATTAAGTATTGAAGAGATTTGTCATTTCAGTGCCTGAAAAGGTAAGGTAATGTTATTAGCAGTATATTGCTCAGGGGAGACGTTTATATCCGCATTCCACAGGAGGGAAAAGTAAAGTGGAAACACTTTTTCCTCTTCCGCACCTGCTAACCTTGATTTCCCACAGAGAACATGGAAGAGCCTGAGTAAGCGTAGGAAAGGCCCTCAGCAGGCTCCTCTCGGCCAGGTTAGTCTCCCTTTACACGATCTCCTCACGAGCACTGGGCACAGGTTCTGCTTGGTCCCTGTTCTCGTGCCTAAGTACAGAGGAGCCGGGGCTCAGGCATGCTTTCTAGAGGCAAGTCTGGAGTCCATATGTCCCTCTCTGCTCCACGGGCCTAACAGTGCAGAAAAAAGTTAACTTTGGACAAGTGGGCCTTTAGATCCAGAGACATCCTCCAACAGGTTCTCCCAAGACCTTAACATCAGAGAAAGTATTAGGAAACTATGGCTGTGCATCCCAGTGGGCCTTCTAATTCAGCTTTACAGTAATAAAGTGGACATTTATGTACCTTCATCTATTTAATTCTTCTCATTTTATCATACTGGTTCAGAATTCAGCAGAGGAAAAGAGGGGCTTTGATTTTTGTTTTTTATTGGCCCTCTTAAATCCAAAATATATGGAAATGGGAAAAGACAGATCTGATTTGTCTTATCTGTTCTTTATAAAGCCTACACACAGGGCTTACCTGTCTCTAAAAATTCAAAGTTTCAAGAAAATAAATGTTACTGGCAAAATAAGTACATGAATGAATAAATTAATATTGGTAATAAAATAAATCTAGATCAGGAGGACAAGTCCTGTGACTGAGGGAATAAAATTAATGACCATATTTACTGGCTGCTTTTGGTGTGTCAGGCACTGGCCTAGGTCCTTACGTATTATCATTCAATTCCCGCAAAAACATTACTATTATCATTCCCAGTTTAGAGAAGACAACCAAGAAATAGAGGCTTAAGTGATCGGCCAGGATGAGAAAGTTAGCAAGTGCCGGAGCTGGGACATGAACGCAGGTAGCCGAGCTCTAGAGCCCATGCTTCACTGCGGTGCCATATTGCCTCAACAGAGTAGCAGCCGACTCACACTACAACACTTCTTCTTTTTTTTTTTAATGATTTTTTTTTTTATTTATTCATTTGAAAGGGAGAGAGACAGAGAGAGCACAAGCAGGGGGGAGAGGCAGAGGCAGAGAGAGAAACAGGCTCCCCGCTGAGCTGGGAGCCCACGTGGGGCTCGATCCCAGGACCTGGAGATCATGAACCGAGCCGAAGGCAGACACTCAACCATCTGAGCCACCCAGGTGCCCCCACACTACAACACTTCTAATCAGCGTATTTCAAAAGCTTTGTAGGGTAAAATTCTAAGGATCATTTCCATTAAGCTTTTTTTTTTTTTAATTTAAAGATTTTATTTATTTATTTGACAGAGAGAGAAGAGAGCGAGAGAGCACAAGCAGGGGGCGTGGGAGAGGGAGAAGCAGGCTTCCGCTGAGCAGGGAGCCCGATGCGGGGCTCGATCCCAGGACCCCGGGATCATGACCTGAGCCAAAGACAGACGCTTCACCAACTGAGCCACCCAGGTGCCCTTCCATTAAGTTTTAATATAATTTAAGAATCTACATCCAAAAGTGAAGCCCACAGAGCTAGTAGTAAGGAAGGTGTTTTAAAGTTATACCAATGAAAATGTTCTGAAGAAAACTGTTTAAAGGCATCTTCCTGACTAGTGCTTGAACTTGGTTTTATTTAAACCAAATGTATGCCATGGTATAGAAGAGGACAGTTATAATAAGAAATAGATTAAGATATAGATAAGATAGGGGAGCCTGGGTGGCTCAGTCGTTAAGCGTCTGCCTTCGGCTCAGGTCATGATCTCAGGGTCCTGGGATCGAGCCCCGCATCGGGCTCCCTGCT